ATATTTTTACTTACCCAAAAGTAGTATAGAAAATGTGAAGAAAAAAGGTCTATACTGTACATGCATATTGTCATTTTAGCAACATTCTTACAAAAAACTCGTTTGTCGTGCTAAGTTGTGCTTCTACTGTCATTTGTAGAGTTACTGCAAGTAAATCATTCTAAATAAGTCCCTTCTGAGGTTCCATTTCAGTTAGGACACTTTCATTAGATGTGACCGTATATTGTAGGCAACAGACAGCTCACTGGGTTTTTGGAACAGAGCTGTAGCATCTGGACCAATCAAACACACAATATATATTTTGTTTTTATATTTAACAAATCCCTAAATATAAGACGACCGCATTTTTTCAGATGTATTTTCAAGAAAAAAACATTGTCTTATATTCGGTCAATACGGTACTAAACAGGGCAAATTAGAATGTGACTGCAATTCCATAAAAGCTCTGATGGTAGTGTAAAGTTCTGACAATGTGCAAATTAAAGAACACAGATGCAGCCATCTCATTTCCACAGGAATGGATGTGGTGAGAAGTAGTGATGCTGAAACAACAATCTCCTTATCAAAATCTTGTCTTACAATAAACACATTTTTTTTTGGTCAGAATGAGAAGAACCAGCTGATGACAACCAATGTTTGGATGAAGCAGGTAAAGCAGGACTAATCCATTAACGTTTATCTGATTAATACGAAATATAAATTATATTTATTAGACCTTTATTTTGCTTTTGTCATTGTGTTCTGTTCTGGTAGTATTTAGTCATTGGTACACAACTGACACACATTGCTTTTTATTTGTGTGGGGATCAGCTTTGCAGATAAATCCATGTGTCTCTGCATTCAGGAATGGACAGACATGAAGCTCCGATGGAATCCAGATCATTATCTGGGCATCACCTCCATCAGAGTTCCCTCAGACTCCATCTGGATTCCTGACATTGTGCTCTATGACAAGTATGTGTTGGCACTCAGTGCCTACTGTATGAGTCAGAAAGGAAACCAGACAGGGACTGAACCTGACGTTTAACATTTCTGTTAGAACAAAAAATATCATAGAGATTCATAATATTTTTTTATGGATATTAAAATTTATGTTATGTATACATATACTGCATCGCATGACTTACTTATTTCATACATACGCCTAAACTGTGAGTAACCATTATTATAAAATACCTTTTTGAATCTGAAGAAGAACAAGAAGAAAGCAGTTTGGTACTAGATAGTCCGTTGAGCGTTCTTAAAAGAAGAATCTTAAAAATGTTTATTTTGAAGCCTGATAAAGTTTTATTTTTGTAACCTGACAAATGAAAACCAAACTGTTACACTTAAAAATGATGGTTTTACAAGTCAAATCCTTTGTGCTCGACCCCTGTAGAAATGTCAGAGAAAACCGTTAAAAAAATTATCGGTTACACTTTATTTCGATAGTCCACTTTAGACATTCTACTAACTATAAGTAACTTTGTAACTACATGTCAACTACATGTCAACTAATTCTCATTAATCTACAACTACATGTCTACTAACTCTCAGAGTAGACTGTTAGGGTAGGTTTAGGGTTAGTAGAATGTTGACAAAGAAAGTGTTAGAAGATATTAAGCAGACAGTCTACTAATACTCTACTAACTGCTAGTTGACATGTAGTTGCAAAGTTATTTACTGTTAATAGAATGTCTAAAGTGGACTATCGAAATAAAGTGTTACCAAATTATCATTTCAATTAGGTCAATATTTATTTCCCAATGTCTCCAACTTCTTGCCTTGCTTGTAAAAGTACAAAAATCTTGACTTTTGTGATTTGAAATGCTACTCTGAGTAAAAAAAGACAATTTTTACTTTCATTTGACTATATGAGAATGTTAATTTTGGACCTGCCTGTATCTCAGCTTGATGACTGAGTGATTCTCACTTGCAGTGCAGATGGCAATTTCGAGGCCACAGTGACAAAAGCGGCGGTGAGATATGACGGCACTATCTCCTGGACCCCTCCTGCTAACTATAAATCTGCCTGCACCATTGATGTGACGTTCTTCCCCTTTGACCTTCAGAACTGCTCCATGAAGTTTGGCTCCTGGACCTACGATGGTTCCCAGGTATGCTGTTTTAAACTGTTATTAAAGGCATGAAAATCCAATGTTTACATCTATAAAGGAAGAATTTACCTAAAAATTTACCTAAATTTGACCTAATTAGCTATCTGTAAATAGTACAGATAAAGTAACTGAAATTACTCATACTGTATATTCTAAGTCCTCTGAAGCATAGCTTTTTGTGTTTAATATATGGAAATGAATGTAACAACTGCATACTATTCCTTTTTTAAGGTGGACATTCTCCTTGAGGATGTACATGTGGACAAACGTAACTATTTTGACAATGGTGAATGGGAGATTGTGACAGCCATAGGCAGCTGGGGTTTGAGAATCCATCACTTACTCTGTTATTATCAGATGTCTTCCTCTTTTCTACACACTCTTCCTCATCATCCCCTGCATTGGATTGTCTTTCCTGACCATGCTGGTGTTTTATCTCCCATCTAATGGAGAGAAAATCTCCCTCTGCACGTTTGTCCTCGTCTCTCTCACTGTCTTCCTTCTGGTGATAGAAGAGATCATCCCTTCCTCCTCAAAGGTTTTACTCTTTTTAAGAATTCAAAGCTATATTAAGTGATTTATATATTTAATTGATGTGTACTGTATGTCAGTGTGCCACACATATTTTTGAATTATTTCACATTATTGTCAGCAATAACATTGCAGTGTTTTTCAGCTATTGGAAGTTCATTCATTTTAGACATTGAAGTGCTTTTCTGTATTTACTTTGAGGGCCCTTTTGTCATTCTGCAGTTGTGGTGGCAGATTCTGTCACTCACCTCTAGATGTCAAAAACTCCAACTGCAATGCATCATTTCTAGATAGAACCATATAAGTAACACTTTTGAATATATAGAATGGTATACATGTTATATCGGTAACACTTTAGTATAGGGAACAATTCTGACTAGTTGCTTATTAGCATGCCTACTATTAAAATATTGGCTGTTTATTAGTACTTATAAAGCACATATTCTGCATGACCATATTCAACATCCTTACTCAATACCTAAACTTAACAACTAGCCTACCTTACTAACTATTGTTAAGCAGCAAATTAGGAGTTTATTGAGGCAAAAGTCATAGTAAATGATTTATTAATAGCGGGAATTGGACCTTAAAATAAAGTGTGACCGATATATCTAAATCTATATCTATCTTAGTCCATATTTCCAGTTGTTCTGAACAGTTTTAAAATAACTGGTGTGCCACTGGGAGTGTAAGGAGGACCACAGAAAATAAATAATTTAAAAAAATAATGTTTTGGGGCTGGCAAAGTTACATATATATAATCCCTTTAATGAATTTAATTAACATACATAAAATCTTATATTAATACAATTTATTTATTTTTTTAAAGAAATATTGAAATTATTTATTTCCAGTGATGATTGTGATTATTTTCATTCTTTCGTTCTCATTTTCAAATTGCCAAATGACTTTTTGCTCCGCTCTTATGTTTTCTGTCCCAAGTGATTCCTCTCATTGGAGAATATCTGGTCTTCACTATGATCTTCGTGACACTTTCCATCGTCATCACTGTCTTTGCCATTAACATCCATCATCGCTCCTCATCCACTCATCACAGTATGGCACCCTGGGTCCGCCGTATCTTTCTGCACCAGCCATGTGGACCGCTACGCCACCACCGCTGCGAGAAACGGAAGAGAAGGTCTGGGCTATGGGAAGAGTTTGGGCCAGGATACCACTCCTCTGCTCAATGCAGAACATAGTCTGCGGGCAGCCTTAGAATCTACATCACGCTACATCACGCTTCATGTGGTGAAGGAGAATGAAGTCAGAAAGGTAAGATTATTATTGTCTCACTTTAGACTAAATAAGCTTTGAGTTCTAATAAATTCTAATGTAGTACCTCCTTTTAGGTTGTTCAGGACTGGAAGTTTGTGGCCCAGGTTCTGGACCGGGTTTTCCTGTGGGTGTTTCTCTTACTATCAGTGCTTGGCTCTGCTCTGCTTTTCATTCCTGTCATCTATAAATGGGCCAACATCATTGTTCCCAGCTATGCTGGAAGTACCAGCTAAAACACATGAATGTATAAAATTTAAAAATCTTTGGCTTGGATAAAGTTTTTACATTATTATTATATTTATTACTGTAGTCCTCAAAACATCTATGCAACTTGTGGCAATTGAGCGCTGTAATTTATGCTGTAACATGCTGCATCACGTTAAACATTGTATGCTGATTTCATTACAATAAAATTTACAATAAAAATTATTGTGTTAAAGTTATTGTGCTTCATGAAGATGTTATAAAAATTACAGTTTACTCCTAAAGGTGTAAATGTATATAATCATGGTTTTGCTAGGCTGTGATGTTAACCATAATATATGTCATAATACAGGGGTTTTCAACCTTTTAGGACATTTGTCTAATTTCACTCGTGCCCCCCCAACATCCACTACTGATCCCAAAACACAGGGGACTTTATCGTTTTTTTCTGGGACATTTCCTTCGAAAATTAAATTTAACCACAGTGCCCTCAGCGGCTCAGATGGAGGGAATCTATGGAGACTCCTATGTTTGTTGGTGCATCCCAAAACACAACACTTGCAATGCCTCTTTAGCACTGACATTGTTTATCTCAAGCAGCTACAGCAAAAAACACAACAAAAAAACAGTAATGATGGACTGCTGCTTCTCACTCAGGGCTGTGTCTATGCTAATAGGGAAGAGATCGTCACAAATGGGTGGGACTTTTTCCCTACGATGACATGTACGTAGGGCAGCGGTTCTCAATTCTAGTCCTTGCGCCCCTCCGCTCTGCATATTTTGCATGTCTCTCTTAGTTAACACACCTGATTCAGATAACCAGTTTGTTAGAAGTGAGCTCCGTGCATGAACTTTGTTCCGATTGACATGGTCCCTACACTGCTTCCTACTCCCTGAGCAGGGGAAATCCAGTAAAGTTTACTTCACTTCGGAACATTCATTTATGATCATCATGGCGGCATATTCTGTCTCATTTTTGTTCATATCGCTTGTTCTGAGACTGTTTATGAAAAAAAAACATTTTAATAACACACAATAAAATAATTATATACTTTGACACACATTAGTAAGTATGCTGACTAGACATATTTAAATGATTTTTTTCTCAGCTCATGTCTTTAATAATTCATTTATTTAAACCTGTGACACTGCATTGTGGTTCAAGGGTTAACTCTTGGTTATTCAACATCCAGTCCCTCACTCTGAAGATGTTCACTCAGAGTCTTTGTAACACTTGTTTTGCTTCTCACTAGCAAATTCACTTGACAACCCACTGGCTTCATCTAAGGGTAAGAGGGTTTTTTCTTCTATTATTTTGTATTTGTTTATTTTTTGTTCATATTTCTGTTGATGTGTTACCATTCTTTAAATAGGTCCTTAAACTTTTTTCTTATAGCCTCTCATTGTATATTTTCATCTTGTAAGTTCCATACTCCCAAATCTTCTTTGTCTATGCCTTTCACAACTTCATCCTTGCATCCTATTTACACCTAATTTATACAATATACATTAAGTAACTCTTTATGAAATATGCACTTGCAATTCAAATACTGGAACATGCTATTTAATCTTAGTGACTATAGATGTTCTTGTTTAGAGAAGTAAAATATCGTTCTAAAAACTGTTATCTAGTTATCTTGCAAAACATATTTTCAGTATTTTTTGTCTTGTTTTCCAGTAGAAATATCAAAACAATATAAACAAACAAGTATTGTTTTTCTTGTTTTCCATTAGAAAACAAGGTAACTTTACTGTAGAAGTAAAAATATTTTTTAAATAAAATGTAAAAGTCAAAAGGTTGGTTTTCTGTTGTGTGCAGCAGATTTAACATTTCAAGTTCCTAAATTTTTCTTAAACAGTGTAACACTAGAGAATGGGTAAAATCTGTTGAAGCCAGGCAACCAGCTTCATCAGACACAAATGCAAACACAATAAGCTTGTTCGAGATGACAAACACCTCGCCTTGAATGTAGATGAGAGTAGACGGCTGCAGCCAGAGAAAGGAACCAAATAAGAGCTGACAATTCTCTCTTTATAGGACAGGCAATCTACATGAACAAATGCAAATTAGTTTTAAAATATCACATTCACATAATTTGTTTCTAATTAAGCGGATGCATCCACAATGTATAGTTGATAATCAGGCACGCTGTTGATTGGATCTGATGTATAATAGAACATATTTACGAATTATGAATGCGAATTTTAAACTATTTTTAGCCTAACTATTTTTGGGTCTAGATTTAGGGGTGGGCCTTCATGATTTTAGCAAGTCGGCAAGGGATTGAAACATGCTCATCTTGCCTCCCCTGATAAGGAAATGGCCATTTTGGTTTTGAAAAGACATAATTGGGCCTGTCCTAATACCCACACTTGTGGTCTTGGCCATTTGAGATACACATGACAGGAAATAAGTGTGCAAAACTGTCCCATGTCTGAAAAAAGCCAAAGCTCAGTGCCCTTGAGCTAAATACACTAAATTCACACTTTCTCTAATGATATCGCTCAGAGTGGTATCTGAGGCTAAGCCTATGTTAAATTAATTAAATATTACATATAATTTGGTGGTAGAACATAAAGTGTTGCACATTGTATGTGCAGAGACAAGTACTGTATATATATTTTGTAGAACATTTGCAACTGCTTCTGATCTCGTAATTACGGGTAGAAGCACCTAAATACATTTTATCTTGTTACATATCTGAATAGACATTGAGAAGTTTATTCTAAAAGGGTAAAGTACTGAAAATCAAAATGTATAAACAAAGGTCTTTGAAAATGTTACATTCCACACACTTGCGGTCTTCTTGCTCACTTGAACACTTGGGCCAAAGATAGGAAATACAATGTGAAAGTAGACAAGTAGTTAATTGCAAAGAGAGCAAGTGTGGGTATTGTGACAGGCCCGTTCTCAAAGAGAAAGATAATAGAGGCACAAATGACAGGATACACTAATGACCCACACACCCCATATCTACAATTGGTCCTGCCCCAAATTAACCCTAACCTTGGTTTAGGATGATCAAATGGAGCAATGTTTTGATAGCAGCACAGACACACAGTATTTATACTTTTCAGGAAAATTAACCTACAAATGGAGTATTAGTTGTCACTGTGCATTGAATAGTAAATTATAAGAGGGGAAATTCATATTTTAGCTTAAAAACTGTTTTGCATTGTTTCTTGAAGGAATCTAATGGATCTAAGAGGGTACTTAAACAGGATCGGGTTTACTGGACCATATGACAAACCTGATCTGGACACATTACGCACCATCCATAAGCTGCATGTTATGACCATTCCATTTGAGAACCTCAGCATCCACTGTGGGGAGAAGAACACGACGGACCTGAACATCATCTATGATAAAATAGTCAAAAGCAATCGTGGAGGCTGGTGTTGTGAAAACAACCTCTTGTTCTCATGGGTCCTAAAGGAGATGGGTTACAAATACACCACACTAGGCTCCAAGGTGTTTAATAAGTTCCAAAATGATTTCTACCCCGTGGACTCTCATCTCATCAATATAGTGGAGATTGATGGGAAGCCTTACATTACCGACGTGAGCTATGGAGTGTCGTGCCAACTGTGGTATCCCTTAGAGATGATCTCGGGTAAAGATCAGCCGCAGCCTCCAGGTGTGTTCCGCCTGCTAAACAATGGGATGACGTGGGTTCTGGAGAAGACTACAAGAAAGCAAGTGGTCAAAGACAAGGCCTATGCTCATTCCAGCCTCATTGACAGGCGCCTGACGAAGAAAATGTATTGCTTTCCATTAACACCCCGTGAGAAAGAGCATTTTGTGGAGACCCTGGATTGCTTGCAGACCAGTCCTGATTCTCGGTTTGTGCTGAAGTCCATTTGCTCCCTTCAGACGCCCAACGGCTTCAGAGCTCTGATTGGCTGGACTTACAGCGAGATCACATACAACCCCGAGGAGGACTGTGACATGGTGGACATGAAGGAAATCCCTGACTGTGAAATAGAAGCTGTGCTGAAGGAAAAGTTTAATGTGATGTTAGTTAATAAGTTCACACCTAAAAACAAAAAAGCTAATTATTGCATGTAATACAGTACTGTACCATTAACCGTAAGTATTGTCAAGCATCTCAGTGACTCTCATACTTCCTTGAATGGCCTTTTCTTTAGGATGTGACAAACAGGTCTAACCAATAGAAGAGTTTCTGTGAAAGTCTAGCCCTGAATGCAGCACTGTTTCTGTGTGTCTCAATGTTTCTTATGATTTTGAAAATATTAATTAACATAGACATATAATCAATGTACTGTTAAAGATTGTTTAAAAATGATTGACTTATGTTTTGTCGCACCAAAGCAGTGAATTTACACGTCCACTGATTAAATACAGCTCCATATTTTGTGCCAACAACAATGTATTTTGAATTATTGGCTGACGAGAGCATAAAAATGTAGATGATATTTAGAAACAAAAATAAAATAATTCATAAATTTCATGAGAAATTGTAAATCTTTGTGTGTGTGTGTGTGTGTGTGTGGGGGGGGTTATCACCACTTGATGTCCAATAAAATTCAGGTTAAGGTTAGAATCTCCCCTTTAAACTATAATCGAACCTCACCCCTTCACTTACTAATAAAGTGTGTAAATGTTTGTCCAGGGTGCTGATAAAACAGAACACAGATAGCATTGTGAGTTAAAACTGGTTACTAACAACAGGTCAGGTTAATGTTTAAATTCAGCAGTTTTGAGTTTGCCGCAGTTAAGTAGTTTACAGCTAACATACAGCTGACATTCTCTCCAAATATTGCAATCTTGGATTTAAAAAGTTACCAATTATAATGCATCAAGTCAATAAATTATACTTGCAAAATATTTTTTAAATCTCTCTCTCAATTAATAACAGAAGGAAACTGCATGTACAGTATAATAATTATACAGATGTTGATTCAAATGGGTTTAGTCACGGCACAATATATTCGAAATATAAAATTACATTTATTTTCATTTATATTTATGTCATGTCTCTTTTATAGTTTTATATGTCTCTTTTAACTTGAACTCTTTTAAGTAAAATGGCTAATAATAGTATTAACTAGGAAATGTCACTGCACCATACCACATTGTTTTCAGTACAATTATATTTGAGTAATGTGAATATTCATAATTGTTTAAGTAATGTTTTTCTGTTAAGAAGATCACTGTTAAGCCAAATTCAGATACATAAAACATTTTATAAAAAATAAAACTATAGTACATAGGAAAGCAGAATTCAAATTGTATTATTCTGTATATCAGGGTTTCTCAACGGGGGCGGTTTGGGGAACATCAGGGGGAGCTGAGGTGTTCTTGAGGGGTGTTTGGTTAAGGCGAGTTTTCACCAAAGATGTATGAGCTGAAACTTGCAAAATAAAATGGTCTGACTGCCACATCCTAACGCCGTCTCTGTACTGGATGCATCAAAGCGCATTTTCTATATCAATTTGTCGGTAGCGCAAGTGCGTGGAATGCGTCAGAAATAGAACGCAGCATTCGTTTACTGTAGCGCTTGCGCTCAGTTACTGAATGATCGATTATAACGGGATCTTAAAGGATCCTACATAGAGGACCTACAATAATGTACAGTTTTTGAAAAATAATGTGTTTTTTGAACATTAAAGCATGTCAATATATTTTGTTACTCCAAATACACAAAATAATGATCTTTAAAAAAGCATCGTATGACCCCTTTAACGCAACGTGTCGCACCGTTCGCGGCCAGCAATGTTGTGTTAGCTGCTACTTCACACCAATACTGCTGCTTCTAGACTATGGTGTATCATTTCCTTAGCAACGACATTTTCCTTCAGTGTTCGCTTGACTTTCTGCAAGCATTTAGACTCGATAAAGCATGAGATGCCTATATATTATAAATAAAATACACTACCATTAAAAAAAGGACAGTAAGATTTGTTCATGGATTAATTAAAAAATATATTTTGTGCATTTGTTTGTTTAAAAAAACAGTAAAAACAGTAAATCTACAATTTGAAAAGAAAATGTTTTATATTATATTTTAATATGTGTTTTCCTCTCAAGCTAAGCTTCACTACTCCAGCTTTCAGTGTCACTTGTATTTGTGATCTTTCAGAAATCAGTGTTGCTTAAGAAACATTTATTATTATTATTTTTGCTGGCACACCACACTGACAAAAAAAGCAAGTTTTGAAATTTAAATGACTATAACAAATATATAAATCAGGACAACACTAAAATAGTAACTATTTTGAAAATGAGGAGCATATGTATCCGATCTTTCTACATCCCCAGCTCCAGAAAAGTTGGGACGTTTTGTGAAATGCCATAAAATCAAGAATATGTCGTTTGTTCTCTTTAACCTTTATTTAATTGACTGAAGTACAAAGAAAAAAATTCCAATGTTTTCACTGGCCAACTTCATTTTATTTTGTTAATATAAACAAATGTTGAGCCATGATCCAGCTTTGCTGGCAAAGACTGAGAAGCTCATTTTATACCCAAACATGACAGCCTCACCTATTACAAATTCACCTGCTTGCTGTGAACAGTTTCAAAAGTTTATTTGGTTATTCTTCTACAACCTTTTCACTTTTATTTTGCCTCTGTCCCAACTTTTTTGGAGTGTGTTGCAAACATCAAAATAAAAATGTGTTTATATTTACAAAATACATTTAAGTTGGTCAGTGAAATCTTTTCTTTGTACTTTTGTCAATCAAATAAACAGAAGTTAAACAGAATTAACAAATCACAGATTTAATCATTTTACAAAACTTTCCAACTTTTCTAGAAATAGGGTTGTACTTAGTTCCCTTCTGAGGGAACTTCGAACTGCATCCTCTAGAGGTCGCTATGGGGAACGCCTTCAGCATGACCAGTGTCTGAAGCATGCAGTACATCTAAACGTGACAATAGGCTTGTTTGAGATGAGCAAAATCTGCGCAGAACCGATCACCGGTTAGAATGCATGCTGGTTAGAAAAGTGTCCGAGTTACGTCCGACTTGCTCTGATGTCATGCTGACGTGTGCCAAAAAACTCTCGCGACGGTGAGGTGGCTGTGTCGGATTAGGCTTGTTTGAGATGCGCCTCACCTCGCCTGAAATGTAGGCGAGAGTAGGCGGCTGCAGTGAGGGGAGGAGTGAAATAAGCACTACTAGTGATGGGAAGTTCGGATCATTTTACCGACTCGGACCTTTGAGTCTCGTTCAGCAAAATGAACAAATCTTTTTTCAAGTCATTTTGTTCATTTTAGCAAAATATAATTAAAATGTTACGTGTTACTTCCCTAATACGTCTACTATTACGCAAACGTTGATCACACTACAAACAATACAAAACTGCTATAAGAAACAGAAAAGATGAATTCATTGTTTACCTGGGTCTTCAGTCTATGATTAGCTCACCTCACCTCTTATCTGACAAGCCTTCGGGTTTGGGCTTAAGGGTCTGTCACGTGATGAATGAACGACTCAAACCCGAAGACTCGAGAGATGAACTAATCAATTCTCTTTCCGGCTCAG